CACTTTCTCACCCCCAGATTAGTTGTGTGCTTGTATTTCTTCAGCAGCATTTGCTTGGGCGCTGTGCAGCACTGCCGGAGCAGTGTCCCCGCAAGGATGCTTGCAGATTTTGAGCACTGCTCTGCTGCTTTGAGTTTTGTGCTGATAAAGCAGGGAGCCGTAGCTTGAAAAACGAAATTATCTTGGGCCACAGAGCAGCGTGTCAAATGGCTGCATCTTAATGCCGCAACTGGAGCCTTTGGGATCACTGCTCCGTGCTGGAAATGACCTTTTTCTCCTTGGCTCTTCTGCCTGTGCTCCCCACGAGGCMTCCAGCCCTCCTGAACTGAGCGTGTCCCCAGTTGGCACTGGCAGGACCTGTTTCCCACAGGGAATTTGAGCACTTTTGGCACCGAGCCCGCATCATTTGAAGGGTTGGCCATAGCTCCATCCTGGCAAGCTCCACGGGGTGGGACTCTCCACCAGGTCCACCAGGAAACGGAAGGTGACCGAACGTGGCCGTTGCTGCCGGGGCGCCGTGTTCTGACCCACGTCCGGTGGCACCGTTTCCACACCTCGTCCAAGGCAGCGCGGCCTTCGGAGGCCGCTTCCCAAGCTGGGCCTCGTCCCCACAGAAGGGAAGCGAGATGGGGAGCCAGGAATTGGACGCCGGGTTTGTGCTTCGGCCCTCCCCGGCGCAGGTGGCGGCGCTGGTCGCAGGAACCRCACAGATCCTGAACTTGACGTTTTCCTCTTTTCCTGAAATCTGGTGAATTTGCTGGAAGAAGACGAAGAGCAGAGGAAGCGTGGGGGATGGGAAGGCTAAATAATGACCTTTCTGTTCCATGAAAGCTCTTTGCAACCAGCAGTTGTGACTTTTTTTCTTTCTTTCCCTTTCTTTTCCCTCCCCCAACGAGCAGAATCCGATCTGGAAATCCAGGACTAAATCCGGCGTGTGTTTCAAAGCCCAGATGTTTGGTCTGACACGGAAACATGGCACCTTTCTAGCGAGCGAGACGCCTTGGTGACCTCAAAGAGGCTAATCTGGGATAAGAAGAGTTAAGGCCAGTCGGCAGCGGCCGCATCCCTAAACTGGGTCAGCCGAAACCTTGCCCTGCCTCCGCRTGCCGGGTCTTTCCCTTTGTATTAAAGAGCCTTCGCAGACGTCCAGGATTCCCTCAACCAGCAGCGTGGCGAAGAATAAACCATTCCCTCAGGCTGTCCCCATTCCYGGCACGTTCTCATGGATCCGTAGGCATGGATCCATAGGAGTAATCCCCTGCTGCCCCATCCTGTGTGTTTCACCATCCCTCAGCGTTTCTTCTGGGGTAGGGTGAGAAGCAGAGGTGGAGGTGGACAGGGTCGGGTAGCAGGAGCGTTGGGTTTGGCCCTACCTGGCCACGTGCAGGAGCGTTGGGTTGGAACCGGCTTTTATGAGTCTTATCTCCACGTCGGAGCAGGTCGAGGAAAACTCGTCTTGGATTAAGTCTGTCTTTATCTAAATCTCTTAGTCTGAATTAGAGAAGTGTGAGGATGCGGGTGGCTCAGAGCATGGTTGACCTTTTTGGTCCTTTTGTTTTAAATCCAGTCCATGCCAGCAAGGATTACCAGCCACTCCTGCTGATGATGTTGTTGTTTGACTCTTCATAGATATCTCATTGGGGCAATGTGCTTCAGGTGACCCTACTTGAGCAGGTAGATTGGGCTCGATGATCTCCAGAGGTCCCTCCTGACCTCCTGTGAGCTCGGTCGATGCAATGTGCTGAGGACTTGGTGATGGTTTCCAGTTCCTGCTTGTTCGGGTCTCTTTTGCCTCTGCAAAGTGGTGTGTGTGGTACTGAGATGTCCATCTCCATGTGAGGAGGAACTTCTTYCMTGTGAGGGTGCCCAAGCCCTGGCACAGGCTGCCCAGGGAGGYTGTGTAGTCTCCTGTTCTGGAGATCTCCCAAACCCACCTGGATGCRCCCGGGTGCCCCGTGCTCTGGGTGTCCCTGCTGGAGCAGGGGTTGGAGTAGATGATCYCTAGAGATCCCTTCCAACCTCAACTATCCTGGAATTCTGTGTTCCTTCAACAAGGCAAAAAGTGTGCAAGTTGAGCTAGATCCTTTTCGTGTTATGACCATGAGATGATTAATTAAGTGRGAATGAAGATGGCACCATGTTTTCCAAAGCCCCTCCGAGGATCTGCCTCCTCGGTAGGTCATACCATATCTTTCCATGCATGGGAATGTAATGGTCCAAGTAGGAGGAGATGTGAATGGAGAGAACGGGAGGGAGGTTGTTTGGAGACCCTGGACAAGTCTCTGTTGTGGGGTTGGCACTTACATTAAATTTCTTCTGGAAATGACACCTTGATTCTTAGGTTTTTTGCGGGGATCAGTGCTTTTGGGGATGGTGCCCTGAGATTTGAAATTGGCTGTCACCAAAAATGGAGCATGAAGATGTTAAGGCAAAAATTACCTAAAACTCACTGATTACTGATAACATCCTTCCCGCTTTGTGTTTGTGTGGATGATGCCCCCTTTTCCCTGTGTAGTGCTGTTTAAATAAAATAAATTAAAAATAAAATATAACAAAAAAGGAAATAAAACAAAACAAAATAAAAAAAGGAACTAAAATAAAATAAAATAAAATAAAATAAAATAAAATAAAATAAAATAAAATAAAATAAAATAAAATAAAATAAATACTGCTTTGGTGCATCCCTGCGTTGGCAATAGAGCACCTCATCCTGGGCTCATTCTGCCGCGCGAGAAACCCAGAGCAAAGCATTCAAGAGCCTTGATGGGAGCGGATTGGATTTGGACGGAAGCGTGGGGTGAACGAGAGCCAAGTTTGCCCCTGGTCTTCGGCAGGCTGGATTTCACGCAGGCCAAATGCGATTAGTTTGTTAGGCTTGGCCGCCGCGCCGACAAATACAATATTGGGCTTGAGCAACAGAGTTAGTCTTGTGTTTTCGCAGCAACAAGCGGCCACAGAAAGCGCGCTCTGTTGTTCTGTGTACAAGCTCCTGTACCATTTAATGCCTGGTTAGGGGAGTCTCTCTTTTAATGGCAATACTGAAGAGCCCTCTGTGTATTATACTCCCAGCAAGGGCGTGATAAAAATGGATGTTTTTGTTGGAAAGCTTCTTTTAAAGCATCCATCTTTTGAGAAAGTCTGAGGCGGCCAAGGCTTCAAATAGGCCAAGATGGGGATATCTCTGCTCGCAGCCAGTGAATTGCTATTCTGTTGAAATTGAAGTATTTAACATGGGTGGGGATCTCAGTCAGGCCCGACGGGGCTGAAATGAGCTCAATTTGCAGGATTTTGACGACTGTTCGGCCCAGGTGGAGGTGGCCAAACGTCATGAGCTGATAACTCGTGTGTGGGGTGTCCGCTCCGCTGCTGCGTCGCTTCCTCCGTGACGGCCGCGAGGGCAAAGCCAAGGCCTTATCCCCCGCCCAGAGGGACCTGCTGGCCTGTCTTGGGCCAAAACAGCAAAATCTGCCCCGCTCTGAGAAAACGTAAAGCTCTCGGTAAGAACTTTGCTGTTCACATTTTGAATTGGCCATTTAAGAGGTAGCTCTCACAGGACACGTGTCAACCTGTGCCAAGTCGAATCTGAGAGTGGTTCTTGGTCGAGCGATGTCCTCAAGAGGATGGAGGACCACCACACCTTATCAGCCAGGTCCAGGGCCCGACAAGGGGTTGGGAGATGGGCACCTGCACGTGTTGAGGATCTGCTTTGCTGCTTCCCTTTTGCTTTATTACAACTGGAACGTTTTTTAAGCATTTACGCAAGAATTGCCTCTTCAGTGCCTGACGCGTCTGAGCTCTGTTGCAATCTCTTAATGTTTGTGCTTTTTACTTGCATGCAGAAAGGCGGAGATAGGGTGTTTAACCACTGCGTATGTGCATGGAAAAAGGAAAAAACACAAGTCATGATCCCAGTGCAAATTAAATCTCTGAAATGTTCATAGAAAGCATTGCTTCTCACCGTGCTGCTGCTGTTGTGCCCCGTCTCCTCAAATCAGAGCTCCGGCTTGCGGCATCCCRATGTCCTGCTGAGAAGTGCCCTGTGGACGGAGGGGAGGCCGATTCCCCGACACAYTCAGCCTCGAGGTTTTGATGGGCCCTGCCTTCGAGCCCCCTTGCTCCTGCAGTGCAGAAAGGAGCGGTTGATCTCACAGTCCCTTGGGTGTCCAGCTGAGGGACGAGAAGCTGGAATCTGAATGGAGTGAAACCAAGAAAACGGTAGTCCTTCTATATCCTGGTAGAACGTCTTTGTTGGMGTGTGGTGCTTTTCTTCTCCATAGGACCATGCTGGAGACCACTTAATTCAAAGTCAAGACTCGTGGGCTTGGACTCGCTGGCTCTGGGAAGGGCAGTTGGGTGTTTGCTGGGCATTTACTGAATTCTCAACTGAGCTAAAGGCTTCTGTCTCTTTTCCTAGTGCAGCCTGCAGCTCTCAGGCCTGTGGTCATGAGCTTTGTGGTGATGAGAGCAGCATCTGCCTTCTCTTTAGGACAGGGCCTCACACTTCTCCTGGAGCTCCATCTAGAGGGGAGGATGCTGGATTTGTTGGGAAGCGCTGGAGACGGGAGTCGGCGGGAGCTGGTGGCCTCTCCTGGGTGTCCATCATGGACAGGGCAGCTCTTGTGAACCTGCCACAGACGGCATGGTTGCAGCAGCTTCTCTTACATACTTATGTTTCCCTCGGCCCCGGAAGATGTGGGAATGGAGGAAACATGGGACCAGCCTGATGGCAGGGGAGTTAGCTGAGGTTCTGCTGCAGGTCCTCCACTGCTTGCGAGTGGGATGTGAGCTTTCCCACCAGCTCTGCTCCCTAATGCTTTCAGGTGGGACTTCAGTGCCATCATTGCTGGCTGTGACTGCCCGTGGAGAAAATGAGAAGCCCTGAGCATCTTTCACAGAGAAGATAACACTCCCACCACACTGCATTTCCTCACCATCCCTTGCGAGGACTGCAAGCAGTTACGCATGACCCATGGTCACTGCTGCACTCAGTGTCCCCTCACTGCGGTTTCTTGTGCTTCTGGTTCAAAAGACAAACTGTTGTGGTTGGAGCTGGGGCCTTCCTTGAGACCTTGGCTCTCAACTGCGAGTTCCTGGTGTYTCCTGCCCAGTGGCTGCTGGTACTGGGTAGCCAGTTTCTCCATGAYCACGGCCTTTGATCTGTTGTCTTTCCAGCGTTCCTTTTGTCATAGGRCATTGTCATCTCCTGCAGGACTCACCGCTTCCAGAGGTGGCTCCCGTCCCACATCAACATCAGGAAACCTGTGCTGGTGCCTGGGCAATAGAGCAAAACCTTTGCCAATGACTTGAGGAATCACATTGAATAACACTTCTCCTCTCTTGCAGGTGGAAACAGCTCCCCAAGCATTGGCCTTGAGCTCACTCGAGCTGCTCTTCTTCTTCCATTTCCATTAAGAACAAACAACCTCCAAACTGGTCCCTAAAATCTCTCCAAGCTCTCCTGAGTTTCCCAAACTCTTAATGCCATCATCTCCAACACTGATTTGCCTCCATCCTGCTGGGACGTGCCTTGGTCCCCAGTCTGGCTTTGCTGATATTCACAGCTGAAGCAACACACAGGCTTCAGTAAAACGTCTCCCAAAACCCGGCGCCTGTTACACAATATTGGTGTTTTAAATAACATCCTGGAGGGGAGAATATGTCAGAACTGAATGTCAGGTTCTTCTCCTCCAACCCAAGCCTAGTTCCAGCACGTTTTTAATATACCATAGCACTGGAATGCACAGCGCGGAGCTGTGCCAAAACCCCACTGCTTATTAACCTTAGCAACGGGCGGGTTTTTGTTTAGATTGTATTTATTCTGTTACAGAGTCATTGTTCTTTACCATTCCTTGAACATTTTGAAGGTTGATTGTGAAAGCCCCGGCTGACAATGCTCCGGTGGAGCCTTTTGTTGGGGAGATTAAAATAGAGAATGGATTGTGAATAACCTGGGAGGGCGAGAAGTTAATCATCCTGTTGACTCATTTCACGGAGCTTCACCTTTTTGTCAGAGCTTCTCAGCTCTGGTTTTGCTGCAGGGTCTATAGGGGCTGTGGGTGCTCATCCCACCAGAGACCATGGACCAGGTGGGTCCTGAGTGTGTAATTTGAGGCATTGAGCAGTTTGGTGTGGAAGGGGCCCAAAACTGAAAAAATTGTGGGGAAAAAAAAATGAATTTTCTTCTCATTTATTGCTCCCCGAGCTTGTTAGCACTGCACGTGGGCTGGCCGCTGCAATAAGCTGCAGAAAGCTGTTTGCTCGTGCCTGTAGCTGCAGATATTTTTGCTAAATGTCTTCTGTTTGAGCAGCAATCTAATTACATATCCCCTGATCAAGGAGCCGGGTGCCAGTAACCATGGAAATGCACCGAGGATCTCACTCTAATTGTGCCTCTTCGCTTTGGTCCCCCGGCTTCAGGATTCACAACCTGCTGCAGTCACCCTGCTGTCTCATTCCCATCCTTAAGAATTCCTAGTCTTAAATAGGATCAGGTAGAGATAGTTTTAGCCTGTGTTTAGGGGCTTCACCTCATGCCATCTGGAATCAGGTTGGCATAAGGATTTCTTTTTCCCTCGTGGRATAATGCTAGACCGTTCCCAGCTCCTTGGTGCGACTCAGCAGYCTGTGCATCCTTTCCATTGGATTCTGCTTGGACTAGGACACCAGCATTGTGAGCAAAATGTGGAAAGAATAGACATAGAGCTACAGGAATTGGTTGGTTTGGTCCTTTTTCAGTAGCTGATGGGAAGAAACATATGGGAGAGCACTGTGATTCCAGAAGTGTATTCGTGGTTCCTGGGAGACCATGGTAGCTCTTCCTGATAGCTGCTTCAGAAGATCTGGGGCCATCTTTCCTCTTAAGACAGCCTTTCTCCTCACTTGCTTGCATCACTTTTACCTGCGGTCCCCTTAGTTCTCTGTAATTTTGTTGATTGCTCAGAAGACCAAACGTCCTGATCAGAGCTGTGCACAGTTTAAACCCAAGTGTGCAACGTTAGAAGGCTAATTGCTATTTATGAGTCTATCGAAAGGTTAGAAATATCTCCTCCAGCCAAGCCAGGTCTTCCTTTGCTCTCCATGATGTGGGAAGCCCATGGACACAGCTCCTTCTTCTTACATGTCCACCAACCAACTGCCCCCAGCCCTTTGCCTGTGCTTAAAACTCCCCCAGTTGAACCACTCCGTATGCTCCAGCTTGAGAATGGAGCCCACAATGGCCAAGCCAAGTAAAAAATGACCAGTTCCATGTATTTTCCTTCCTGCTCCGCTGCCCCCCAGAAAAGGTGCTTCCTCGGGTTTTCTGCACTTGATTTTTGTCCGTTGCAGTGCGAGGTTCCTCACCAGGGACACGTCCCCAGTGGAGCTCGCAGGGCGAGGAGCTGCTGGGCCCTCAAAGCAATCACCTCAATTGCCAACGTTCARTACAGCACGTGGAAGTTAATGAGTGCTAATTAGGCTGGCTGATGGTAATCAATGAAAGCCCCATTGATTGGGCCTCCCCTGTTGACATGAATAGCTGCTCTTGCCTTCCTCTACCCATTGCACCTCAGGAAGGCATCAGTTTTTATCCTCTTCGTGGTGCACGATGCTTTTCCTCTCCATAAGATTCCAACAGGCAGCGTTTTCCCGCACTGGGTTATTTTGGAAGCCAATGTAAGCAGTTTTGAGGGTCAAACAGGATCCATCTGCTCYGGCTTTTAATACCCCTGGCGATGCGGCACAGCTGGCAGTGCTGCATTTTGCCCTGAATTTCCAGTGCAGCATCTTTGCCACCTTCAGCAGACCTCATTTCTCTTCAAGTTGTTTTCATGGTGACCTTCAGCTCGGCTAAAGGTGGATGAGATGTTCATAGATGCCYGATACTTGTGTTATTTTTCTTTTTTTCCTGAAAATGAGATCCTGAGACAGGATCCAGTCTGCTGTGATTACGCAGGAACGGAAACCAAAAGGCAAAGAGGAGTTTGAAGGCGTCTTCCAGTGCTGACCTGCAGCTTGTTGCTGCTCGCATGGTGTGTTCTGCTTTCAACCTGTCCTTCTTTTCCTCACCTCTTACAGACGTGCCTTGGGATAAGCCAAAGTTGTACAAAGCTCAGTTTGCCTGGACRGAGGCTTTTCTCACAGCTCTGTAGGAAGCAGAGCAAGGACATCATAGTCCTCCTTGACACCTCTTGGTCGCCCATAGCTGGTTATTTAGTGTTTCCCACTGAGCCCAGAGATGAACCTAGGAGGTTCCTACAGCCCTCAGGAGATTTTCCCTCCAAAGAAAACGGGAAAAATAGGGTATTTTCACAAGCTGACTKTTTAAAGCAGCTTCACTGTGGCTCAGCAGTCCTAGAAATACCCATCAGCGCATTTGCCCTTGACCTTGGGCCACGTCCCGGTACCYGGTTTTAGGTCGTGCTCAGACGCTGGCAGCTGGCAGAGCAGCAGCTCCAGGTCACGTTTTTCAGCTCAAAGGCTTCTCTGAAAGCTGCTTCTCAAGATGCTCCTGGCAGTTAAATAAAACACTAAGAGAGGGAGATGTTTTCAGCTCGGGTTCTCCTGCCCAGCTTGTGAGTCGATGCATTAAGTGGCGGTTTATTGAGAAATAAATTCAGTGTCTCTGAAATTCCCAATAGCCGCTCAGGGCTCGTCTGCGACCCGGCGTTTGGGGGAGTTAAAATGACTTAACTAAAAGCCCAAAGTTGATGCATTTAAGTTAGTGTTGGTAAAACTTGTGCTTTTGGTTTCTCCATCTGTGTGTGTATATATATATTATATATATATATAAAAAATTCAGTTCCAGGGTACAACCTGCAAGCTGGAAGTAGATCTGCAGTCGCCGGTGCCAGCCCTTTCCACGGGACTGTCTGCACTTGTCTGGTGTTCTTCACCCATCTCTTTTTAGTTTAAAAAATGTAAATTTATGCAATGAGAAGTAGTGCTGTTCCACTACATGGTAAAGTACAGTAAAATAAACTGACAAAGGGATCGTTATATTAAAGTCATTAAAAAAAAAAGAAGAAAATTGTGCTCTCCAAGATGCTTTTTCATTATTAAGAAGGGATRCTGTCGGGATGAGGAACAGCCACACGTGCTTATGAGTCCCAGCTCAAAAGCTGCTGGTGCTTTTCGAGCATTGGAGCTCGTGTGTTGACCTGACTCATATTCTCTTTCTGCCAAGAACAGAGGCAGGGAAAACAGAACACGTGATATTTTTTAAAATATATTTAAAAAGTGTAACTTTTTAAATAAATCATTCCTGAATACCCAAGTGTGGTAGGTGACCATCACCTTTTTCTCAGAATTTCGCCCTTTCTCTCAGCTTTGTGGCTCTCCCACCTCGATCCTCCTCTTCCTGCATCCTCAAGGAACGTCTCCGTTGGCTCCGTCTTCCTGCCCRTTTCATCCGCGGCGCCCTGGGTGTCCGATCCCTGTGGGATTTGCTCCCGCGAGGTCGGACGGGGAGCGCGGAGGGCAAGGCCGGTGCCGGCCGCGGCGGCTCTCCGCGCCACGCGCAGGATGTCGCCACCGGCCGGGAGCCCTGTTTGCATCCATGACGTTACGAGTGTTTCCTCCCCGCTTCCGAATGGGCYGGGAGGCGGCCGAGGGGGAAGGGAGCCGCGGGCCGCGCCGGCCGGGAGAGCAGCGTGTCCGAAAACAGCTCCGATTTGCCAAAAATACCGTGCGGGGAGCAGCCCCAACGCGCGCCCGGCAATGCTGCAGCTTTTGGCTCCRGGCCCGTGCTGGGCTCCTCCCATACGTCACGTTCCGGGTTGCTTGCAGGATGCTCACGGGCACACACAGTATCAGTTTCCCGAAAAACCACATACTCCTCCGTCAGTGCTGCCTCCCCTGGCTCCTTCCTCTGCACCAGTTCCTGCCCTCTCCCAAAACCCGCTCGTTCCTGGTGTCAGCCAGGGCAGTCCGTCGTGCTGTCCTGTTGGGGATGTGTGAACGTGGGYACAAATCCCCTATGAATGGCCACCATGGAGCTCCTTCCTTCCAGCCCCTCTTCGGGACACCTGCTGCGTGACGTGGTCCGTGACTCTTCTTCGCTCTTTTCCTCAGGTCAACATGGATTTGTGGGTCCTCATCCTTCTGCTCGGAAGCGGCCTCATCAGCATAGGTGCTAACAATGTGACAACAGGTAAAAYGCTCTGCTTGACTCCTCTCCCTGTCCCTGAGCTGTCCTCTGGCTCAGTGGAACAAGTGCTCACGTGTTTGATGGCTTCATGGCTTGTCCCATCACCCTGGAGCTCCCAAGGGGCCAAGAGATACTGCTGATGGGACCTGCTGGTTTGCGCAGGTGTAATATTGATCTTCTCTTCCAGTGACTCTAATCTTTCTCCATCTCATGGACGTATCTGATACCTCCTTTGGTAGGAGTCACCTCCCCATACGGTGAACTCCTTCTCTGTCTCGACCTTGGGTTCTTTGGGTTGTTTTCCTCCTTTTCACCCGTGTGCTCATAGTCAGCGCTTCTCCAGCGGCCGAATCCTTCGCTGTGGCAGCAACGTCTCACGCAGGTGCCCTTGTTTGCAGAGCCGCCCACGACCACGCTGCCTTCGCCCGAGAGCCCCGTCAGAGCAACGACAGCGAGTCCAGAGCGTGGCAGCCCCAATGCCACCACCACCAGCCCCAATGCCAGCTCCCCCGCCACCGCCGTCCCCACCGCGGCGCCGGAGCCGCCCGCCACRACAGCGACGGGACCCCCGCCGACCCCCACCGTGCTGGGGCTCAACACCTCCACCCTGGGCACGACCCTGCCCACACCCCCGGCCACCTCCGCTGTCCCCAGCACGTCACCGTCCACCCCCTACGCCGCTCCGCCGAGCACGGACGAGGAGGCGACAGAGAGGAACTTCAGTGTGACGGTGACAACCCAGGAGACCTCTTCTGCTCCCCACAATGGTAGGTGGCTTTCCATCTGCTCTGCCTCTCCAGACTTGACAGAATCACAGAATGGTTGAGGTTGGAAGGGACTTCTAGAGATCATCCAGCCCAGCCCCTGCTCCAGCAGGGACACCCWGAGCAYGGGGCACCCGGGCGCATCCAGGYGGGTTTGGGAGATCTGCAGAKCAGGAACCTCCCCAACCTCCCTGGGCAGCCTGTGCCAGGGCTCTGGCACCCTCACAGTGAAGAAGCTCCTACTCACATGGAGATGGAGCTGCCTGGGTTTCAACTTACACCCACTGCCCCTTGTCCTGTYGCTGGCCACCACTGAGGAGAGTTGGCCCCTTCCTCCCTACATTCTCYGCTCAGATATTTATACCTGTGGATCAGATCTCCTCTCAACCTTCTCTTCTCCAGGTTAAACAGACCTAGTCTTCGCTTAGTCTCTCCTCATAAGGTAGATGCTCCCATCCCTTAATCATGTTTGTTGCTCTACACTGAACCCTTCCCGACCTCTTGTTTCTTTTCCCTGAGAATTAAAGGGAATGGGAAGACTCTTYAGGGCAAATTCCAAGACAATAGCTAAAAAGTTGAGCTTTCGTGGGTCTGTCAGTGCAGCAGTGACAAATCACCCAGGGACTGTGCTCGGCTGCAGAGCTTTGATCCTCCAGAGTGCTGCTACTCAGACCATTTGTACGTGTTTTGGTAGCCACCATGGGTGACAGTCACACATTTTGGCACTCACACAAAGAGACAGTCCCTGTCCCACAGGACTTACAGACTAGAGACTCAAGGCCAACTAGGGACAGGATCCAGCCCATGACGGGATGCTGATGAGCTGCCTAATTACTCTAAATTAGCCAAGCAAGGAAGGAGGGATGAGGCTGCCATTCAGTGTCCTGTGGGATATGGGACATGGAAGCCCAAAGCCAAGCGCCTTGAAAACCACAGGCTGTTCCCATCTCCACCACCGACCTTCTTGGTGGCCTTTGCTCCCTTCAGCTCCCCATATCCCACATGTAGGAAGGAGTCAAGAAGGACATGCTGCCCTGCCAAGAAGCAGTTAAAATAGTGAAGGGGCCAGTGAGGAGAATCTTTGGTCCGTTTTCCCCTCCATGAGATAGCCAAGAAGGCAGGTGGATGCTCCCCATGGACACTCRCTGTCCCTGCCCTCGCGCCCAGCTGCTTTTAATTGACTTCTTAGCTCAGTCACTCTTTAATGCGCTCCTATTATCTCTTAAAGTGCTAATGAGCCGCATCAGTAGCTTGCTGATTAGAGGCTTCAGTGGATTATGTCATTAAGAGCAGAGTGTTTATCGACGTTTATGCGGCGGCTTCAGGTCCCATTTTGGCCAGGGAGGTTTGTTTTCTTTAAGCATTTCTTGGGCGTGTTTGTGTTTTCCCATATGCCATTCACTGGGTTCTCTAACCGAGTATCAGCGAGTTTTATTGTTCAAATTGGCATTTTTTTGCAGTAAACCTCCAAATTATCTGCTCGTCTTTCCACTGGAGAAYGGCTCCACTCACCCATCGCCGCTTCCATGTGCGCAGTGTGTGAATTCAGAGGAGCAGCTTCAATCTGGGGGAGGGAAAGGGAGCAAAGACGAAGCATTTTGTGTTTTCCTTAGTGCTTATCAAATAAAAAAGCCAAATAAGTCACATTCAGGCTTTTTCCCCCTAATCAGGATGGTTAGAATGTGCCCTGCTCCTTTTTCTTTATTATTAAGTAAAAGCTGAAAGTCATTTGAACCTCATGCCTACAGTAGCTCTTATATTAAAAGAAAGACTTGCAAGAAGATTATGGGAATTACTAAATTTGTCAGCATCCCCATCAGTGTTTTTCCTTTCTTATTCAAATGCATAATTCGTTGTTGCTAAGAGAGTTTCTTTTTATTATTTTATGCAGGTAACTCTGACAGAAGAGGTAAGAGTCTTCTTTTTCATTGCTCTTTATTTAAACCTCAAGTAAAGACATCTTCGGGAAGATTCTGCTATTATTTTAGTTCAGGAGAGCTGTTCTGTGGACAATGTGAGCAATTATCATTCTCTTTAATTCTTTGGCAAGGCATCGTAAAAATCCATTTCTTAAATTTAACAGCTTTTACGCTCCTTTTTTCCCGTCCTTGACTGGATGACTTTGTTCAGGGAATTGAGCTCGCTAGAAGAATATTGGCAATTACACCTTGCTTTAAATATATAGGAGTTATTAGACCAGAAGCAGAGCTGGAAACAAGCTGTCTGGGTGTTTGCCATCGTTATTCTGATCAGTTATTTCATCTTTATAAACTGCATGWCAATCCCCTGAGGTGCTCCTTGGAGTACTTAACTCGCACTATCCTGCTGATTCGGGTGGTTTAAATGAAAGAACTCGATATTCTGCAGTGGTTCTTATCAATACGCCTTAGACTGAACCTTTCCCAGGGGAAAGGAAGGGGACACGAGCCCAAGAAATCATCCTTAGGAGCAGTCCCACCCTCGCAGAAGTGTCCTGCCCATTCCCGCGGGCCCGGCACGGCCCATGGGGTATTTAGTGCTCTCGGTGGTGCTCTTAATCCCTAATCCCAAGAGCACAGAAGGGAAGAGAGGGAAAAAAAAAAAAAGCAAAGATCTGACTTCCTAGCACTAGTGCTGTTAATATTTTCCATATCCTGCGGCTTAGAGGATTATTCTGGGGGATCAGTCACAAATCCTGGTTCTCTGGTACCGAGAAGCAGCCCTGGGAGCACAAGAGGGATGCTGTGATTTATTCTTTCCTCTCAGTGCAGGTTCCACGTAGGGTTTTTGGACAGCTTTTTGTTTTATTTCTTCCAAAAATCATCCCCTCCCCTTACCATTATAGCCACCACTGGGAAAATTGATGTAGGGTATAGCAGCAGCAAACATACATTGCTTATATGGCTTTTCCATTAAAAAGGGGGAATCTCTGCTGGATTAAGGGGGCTTTGCCACTAAGCCCTTGTAAGTTAAACAGACCTGGAAAACTGCAGCAGATTAAGACCAGGTATGTTGACTTCTGCAGGACTAATCAGCACGGGATCAGCTCCGCTATGAGCTCAATGTCTTTGAGCTCCTGCTGGAGAATTTGGAGCAAAAAGCAAAGCTGCTTCATGAGGGAGCAAAAGCCCTYGGAATAAATGTCCCCTGGCATCAGGAAAGGGAATTGCAAAACAATTTTGAATCTCTCCTGCTGSACAGAGGAGAAATAGGTGCCTTTCCTGTTGAGGAAGTGTTATGGATAACCTCACTAATGATGTTACAGAATTAAAGCTCTCCCAACAAATTGCCAGTTGAGRGTTATTATGAAGGTGAGGAACAGCAAACCACCTATTCTCCAAGCATTTTATTTCCCACCCCCATACTGTCAGGAGGGAATCATCTACCATGATATGTTTTCAATAGCAAGTGCACTTTGACTATTGATTATTTGGGACTCTTTCCTGTCTGGTTTCTATCAGCCATCAGTAACAGGGGGTCTTTGGCAGAGAAGGAAACAAATCGTTGCATCTACAAAAGGATGCAGTATGGTTTGTGTGCAGGTGCCTGTCTCTCAAATGAAGCCGAGCGAGTTTTTTAGAAAACGCTCAGCTCTTTATTTTTCCAGCCCAAACAAGCTGCTTTTCCAGCAGCCCCTTTGGGGTGCATTTGGACTCCCCACCTCTGCTGGGGAAGGAGGGACCTGCCAGGGGCCCTTGAGCTTGTTCCTGCCTAGGCTTTGCCAGGTGCTTGYTTAAGGGCCACAGCCAAACCCCTCTCTCTTGCTGCACCAGATGTGCTGCAAACCACCCCCACACCCGTGTCTGCCTGCATCCCGCTGCCACATGTCCCCTCCAAGCCCCCAGGCTGTTAATCACATCCCTCTGATGGGCACCGARTGGAACTTGGAGCAGGAAGGTTCCATAACTTGTCCCCTCAGGCTCCTGCTTGGAAACAGGCTGCTGGTTCAAGCTCACGTTACCTCGTGTGCAGATCACACTGCCTTGCACAGAGCTCTGCCCTCTCTCAGTTCCTCTCCCTGCAGAATAACCTTGTTTTTTTCTTGCATTTGGCTGCCCAAACACGAAGTGTGTCCAAGAGAAGGTAAGGGCTACGGCTTGGCTAAAAAACTCGGCATTTGCTTTGCCATCCCAGTCTTGCTTTGGGGAAGGGTCAGGGTGGGGAGTGCTAAAATGCTCTATTAGCTCCAATAGCTTTAACGAACGGAGCTCTTCAGATCCCCTCTCTTGTCTTCTTGCAGATGAGACTCCAATCATTGCTGTGATGGTGGCCCTGTCCTCCCTCCTCGTCATAGTATTTATTATTATTGTGCTGTACATGTTAAGGTAAGGAACGTTTTTTAATGCTATCCACCCTTATTTGACAGAAATTAATTACTGAGTTTACAGGAATAAGCAAATGGCCTCTGCATGGAGCCATTTAAAGTTTTAAAACAAATAAAACAGAAAAGCAAGTGGAGGAAAAGCACGTGGTGGGTTTGTGACCCAGAAGCAGCCCTGGCTCAGCAGAGGGGTAGCTCCTGAATTCCCYCCCTTTCTTTCCCCTCGGTAGGTTCAAGAAGTACAAGCAGGCCGGGAGCCACTCCAACTCCTTCCGCTTGTCCAACGGCCGCGCGGACGATGCAGGTGAGGCCCCTGCTCTGCCACCCTCAGCTCCCCGAGCGCGTGGCCTTAGCCCTGGCGCGTGCACTGCGGGCCAGCCTGGGCCTTCTCCCAAATGACCACAGGTTGCTTTAGTTGCAGGGTTTTTTCCCTTATTTTTGGAAGTTTTTGCTCTCAGAAACACTCACTTGAGCCCACTGCAGCCAGCAGGTAGGCACAACAGCCAGGCTCTCCCTCCCACGTGAGATCTTAGCAGAAACACAGGTTTTTCTCTACGTTTCTTTTGGAAGCCACACACGATGGCTTCCGAAAAGGAATGACGGGGTGAGGACTCCTGCAGAGTTTGTCCAATACCCATATGATTCTGGTGATAGGAACCTGAGAAAACACGTCCTTGCAAGGCGTTAAATATCCTTACACCCCTTCARCTCCAGATGGCAGCTGAGCAAAACTCTGGCATCTTTGCAAAGATGGTCACACTTAGTGTAGGCACCACCATTTGCAAGACAAATCAATGASTATGTTGTTTTTTCCTTTGTGAAACCCTTTCTGTACCTCTTATACACACACAAGAACACACAAATCCACCACATAAAGATGTGCAAAAATGAGAGATGTGGTGAAGAAGTCCTACACGAGTCTGCTTTGATGTAGGTGGTGAGATGAGGACAGTTGGCTCCTGCTCCTCTCCCCGTCAGTGCTGCATTTTCAGGCTTGGAGCCTGCACTTGTATTTGATCAAATACAAGTGTGAGCAAAGTGAATACTTTGTTCAAAGTCAAAACTGACACCTGAGTGCCCAAAATTGGCATCCTGGTGCCCAAAACTGGCACTCGGTGCCCAAGCGAGTGCCGTTGGGGAAGCTCTACCTGTTGCAGATTCATTTCCTGAGCTACCAGGACGATGCCAAGAGCCCTCGGAGCTCAACATGTGACCTCCGTAGGGCCGGAGGTGCTTCCCAGAGCCTTCCCGAAAGGCGGGCAGGGAGCACGGGAGGGCGCCGGGAGCGCGGGGCGCCACTGACGCGCGTGTCCCCGCAGAGCCACAGAGCATGCCGCTGCTCGCCAGGTCGCCCAGCACCAACCGCAAGTACCCGCCGCTGCCCGTGGAGAAGCTGGAGGAGGAGATCAACCGGCGCATGGCCGAYGACAACAAGCTCTTCCGGGAGGAGTTCAACGTGAGTGCTCCCCTCAACGTGGGGCTCCGGGCGCCCCGCCGCACCGGGACGTGCTCCGTCCTTCGGAGCTCGGCGGGAGAGGCCCGGCTGGGGCCTTGCTGGTGCCAGGCGCCCTGCGGAGCTAAATGCACATGGGCAGTTGTCTTAAATCCATGGGCCACCCCCGAGAGAGCTCTGGGAGATAAATGAGCCCGCTTATCTCCATGAGCTGTTAACTCTGAAACGGAATGATGGATTCRTAAGGCAAAAGTTGGCCTACAACCCTGCTGGGTTTGGCAGTAATTCAGTGCTTATCCCACAGTACCAGATCGTACTGAGGAGCCCAAAGCCTCTTGCTGCTCTTGCTAAGCCCTGCAGCTTCATGGTCAGTATTTGGGGAGAGAGGAYGGGGTTTTCTGGGAGTTAAGTTGTCACCCAGCAGCATCCACATTGCTCGTAGTGGAGGAGCTCAGCAGGAGCCTGCAGGGCGTAGCGATGAGCTCATGACTTTGGTGTCGGAGCCTTTGCTGCCACCTCGTGTCCATGGGTCCTGTTGGTCCCTATGTCCTGCCTGGAGGGGATTTGCTCCATGCTAGGGCTGCTGCTTAAGTGTAAGTCGTTGCCTTGAGCTGTACAGGGACAAGGGGCAGTGCAGGTGAGGAAAGAGGGTGACGGMCCTTGAACCAGGGGCTACCATTCCTCCATCTCTTCCATGCCGGAGCACCTGCGTTTTATCTCTGTGGCACAAGAATGTGATGGAATATATCATTTTTGAGATCATTTCTGTGACAGTGACACGAGACCAATTTTGTTGCTTCAGGCTCTCCCGGCATGTCCCATCCAGGCCACGTGCGAAGCTGCTTCCAAGGAGGAGAACAAGGAGAAGAACCGCTACGTGAACATCCTGCCCTGTAGGTCCCCGCGCATCGGGCCACTCAGCTGCTGCCATCCCCTGCGAGGAGGGCAAAAAAGAAACAAGAAAAGGAGGGTAGAGAAAAGTTTGGGAATCTGGGGTGATTGCTCGGCCACTGCGCCCAAGCAAGCGAGTGGCAAAGCCAACTGCTCCACTTAAAGTGTAGGAAAGGGCAGTYTAGGACAGGTGAGGCCAAAACTCTTCCTCGAGTGAGATTTCTCAAGCCAGGAAGAATGTGGGGACATAAATCCTTGGTGTGTGAGGTGAAGCCCCATCCTCAGGGGCCTATGGAGCCTTGGGGACCCAACCTTCCCGCTCAGGCTGCCAGATTCCAGCTAAAATGGGGCTTTGCCTCTAATGCYTGTTTCTCCTTTTCCTCCAGACGATCATTCCCGGGTTCACCTGACGCCCGTGGAAGGGGTTCCCGACTCGGACTACATCAATGCCTCCTTCATCAACGTAAGCGCCCGGCTCCTCGGGAGGGCCGGAGCCCCTTGGCCGCCTCGCTCGGCGCGTGGGGCTCCTACAGGCTGTGACTCACCTGRAAAAGGATCGTGTAGAAACTGCTTCCTTCATTAGCCTCTCCCTAGCTTYCCTGCAGAAATAGCTCCTGCCATATATATCTATTTTGAGCTGGCAACGTTTGTACAGCTGCGGTAGAGGGTCCTGCTTCCCACTCAGCTTCCTGGGCCCGGGTGGACGAGGTCTGGCTGCTAGAGCAAGGGGCAGAGAGCCAGGGCTAACGCTGCCCTGTGCAGCAGGGCCGGGCGCAGCTGCTTGGCAGCACTCGCCTCTCACCCCTAAAGCAGCGAGGAAGCTCCTGTGCTTGTGCCAAGGCAGGCTGCAGGATGGGGAGGGATTGGGGAGCCCTTCCCGGAGGRGCAGAGAGAGGCTTCTGAGCAGTGGTCGATGAGTCGCTGCCTTTTGTTTCAATTAAACTGGAACTTCTAGTTCTCATGTTGATACAAACCCTTGTTTTTAGTAAGGAAATGTCCTTGGGAAGTGGGTTCCACCCATAAGGCAGAGAGGGTGGCCAAGCCCAAGGAGATCCTTCTGCGTGGTCTCATGTAGGACCTGGGGCCACTGAGCAGTCTGCCTCCGTGTCCTATGAGTAAAACAGAGATATCAACAGCAGAGAACACAGCACCTACCCRGGCAGGGCTGCAAATGGAAATTACACTGAGAAGGGCGACATGAGGAAGTTATAAATGATGTAGCAACACAGCGTGACTCTGGCTTCGAAAAAATACTCACCTCTCGTTTTTCTTCCCTTCTGTTTTGTGCAGGGGTACCAAGAGAAGAACAAGTTCATTGCTGCACAAGGTGAGCCCACCAGCTCTGTGCTCGCACTAGCTGCTCCTCGTGGCCAGGGCAGCCATGCRGTCACCTGGCTTGCCCTGCTGCTGTCCCCGGTCAAAACGTGAGGCCACCGGCRTGTCACACACCTGGGAATGGCTTTCCCCTCTCCCTGGCTGCGGAGCAGGGCCTGGGGCTCGTCCTGTGCCCATGGCCAGCCTGGGTAAAGCTGGCGCTGCCTTTTCTTCTGACTCACCCTCAGCCTCACGCCTGGCAGGGAATGGTTGGTTTGAGTCAGCTCCTGGCCTGGCACACAATAAATGTGTGTTATTGTGGTGCTGCACTTAAACAGGATCTTGCGGTTGAAGCACGGGCCTAGGGGCCGGGCTTGGAGCGCTGTTTGTGACTGTTTCCCCTCTGACCTTGGGCAAGCTGCTTTCCCTGTGTCTGATTTCCCCTTCTGCTGCTGAAAATGGACTTCCGGATTGTAAAATGCAACCAGACCCTAWAAAAAGAATAAACTGCTGCTCTGTGATCCGATTAGTCTCCGGGATCAGCAGCATTCCYGAATACCAAAGCGCATCCTGTGCTGACACCTATTGGCAAAGAAATCCCTGCGTCCTTGCAAGACGTGTTCTCTGCCGTCGGGGTGGGTTTCGGTCCCCCTGCTTAGTATCTTAGCAGCCCTTGGGTGCTTGACCTCTTCTTCCCCTTCCCGCTTCTCGTTGCCTGCTGTGTAGGACCAAAAGAAGAAACGGTGAATGATTTCTGGAGAATGATTTGGGAGCAAAATACGGCCACGATTGTCATGGTGACCAACCTGAAGGAGAGGAAGGAGGTAGGCGGCGAAAGGCTTCCATAGAATCACAGAACTCTTACAGTTGGGAAAGACCTTCAAGATCATCGAGTCCAACCCTAAGCCCTTCAGCACYGTGTCTGTTAAACCATGTCCCTGAGGGCCTCATCTACACGGTTTTGAGCACATGGCTGCGCYGGGGGAGCTTTCTGCCCAGCTGTGCCCAGATACACCCAACGACGGCCTTGCTTGTGGAAACAAGGCCGGTAAATAGYTTAAGGGTGGTTTGAGATCCCTGAACCTTTAGGTTTGGCCTTGGTAACCTGTTCCTTCTAGATCTCAGTGTGCAATGTGCTTATAAATACATTTGTGGGGTGACAGACACAACCCCCGAGCGCAGGGCAGCCCTGGCCTCCTCCTGGCAGAGCTTTTGGCCCAACTTCCCTCATCTTCAGCAGCGACAGCAGGTCAGGGAGGAGATCCTGCCCCTCTGCTCAGTCCTGGTGAGGCCACAGCTAGAATATTGTGTGTAGTTCTGGGCTCCCCAGGACAAGAGGGACGTGGAGCTTCTAGAGAGGGTCCAGCAGAAGGCAATAAAGATGGTTAAGGGACTAGAACATCTCTCATATGAGGAGAAACTGAGTGAGTTGGGCCTGTTTAGTCTGGAGAAGAGAAGGCTGAGAGGGGATCTGATCAGTATGTATAAGTTTATGAAGGTGGAATGTAGGAAGGAAGGGGCCAAGCTCTTCTCAGTGGTGGCCAGTGACAGGACAAGGGGCAATGGGGACAAGTTGAAACCCAGGCAGCTCCATCTCCATGTGAGGAAGAACTTCTTCACTGTGAGGGTGCCCGAGCCCTGGGACAGGCTGCCCAGGGAGGCTCCTGTTCTGGAGATCTCCCAAACCCACCTGGATGCGCCCGGGTGCCCCGTGCTCTGGGTGTCCCTGCTGGAGCAGGGGCTGGGCTGGATGATCCCTAGAGGTCCCTTCCAACCTCAACCATTCTGTGATTCTGTGACTGTGGAGGGAGGAGGGAGGCAGACCTGGGGCCGCTGCGTTTCGGTGGGTGCAGCGAGGTGCCCCCGCAGCCCCGCTGGCCTGCAGGGCRCCGCCGCCGCGGGGCATTTCCCTGTGCGGCGGCTGCGGATGCGGATGTGGCGCCGGCGCCTCCCGCCGGGCCGAGCCTCCCCGGGGCCTCTCCGGCCTCACCTGCCTGGTTTTGCTCTCCCCAGTGCAAGTGTGCGCAGTACTGGCCGGATCAGGGCTGCTGGACGTACGGAAACATCCGCGTTTCCGTGGAGGACGTCACCGTCCTGGTGGATTACACGGTGCGCAAGTTCTGCATCCAGCAGGTACGGGGCTCCCCACCTCCTCGCCCAGCCCTGGCATCTCACCTTTCACATCCCAGGGGCCCTGCCAGGGTCCCCAAACTCTCACATGGCCTTAGGGCACTCTCGTTTGCTCCTCAAATCCATGGAGGGCAGCAGAAATAAGGAAGAAACACAGTTGCTTACACGTAAAGAAGTGGGAACTGTTGTCCCCGGCCATGTTTGGATCAGTGGCCCCAGCACCCACATCTCCATGTTCACCAGAGCCATTTAAAACTTGTCTTACCTTAAACCCCYGGCACAGCATCACAGCGGATGGAGAGCAGGTCTGAAATGTGGTCCCGTACCCCCCGGGTGCCTGCCCGTGTGGGACGGAGGCACCGGATCCTGTCACCCCAGCCATGCATCCGTGGCTCCAAGAAGGCCGAGCGGAGACAGGATTGAGTGCCAGCTGCCRTGGGTTTAATCACCTAATCTGTCGCCACATTTTTCTTCCGTGGAAGCGCCGGGTGTTTTAGTCACTGTTTGTTCTCCTGATGTGCTGTGAGGCGGGCAACAAGGAGCTGACGCAGAGGCCACCAGGCGCCCCGATTGGAAACGCAGCTGGAGGTGGAGCTGGGATCTCCTGAACTCATACTCTGCTTTGGTGGCCAAGAGATGGGTGCTCGGAGCTGGGCTGGAGGCCTAGCAGGCAAAGCCGGGTTTGGCACCTCGCATCAGCCTCCTTGTTGGACGCAGGCCACAGCAGCTAGGCCTGGAGTAGAACCAGGAAGCCCATCCAGACCTTGTCCTGGCTCCAGAAGCAGTAGGAGACACGAGCACGGCTGGGGATGTTAGCCTGGACACCCCTGCACTCACACACTTCCTAAGCTGCTGTGCCTCTCTTAAAGGTGCCATGCACTTTGTAGGAGCAGAGCCCATCTCTGGCTTGGCAGCATCCAAGCTGCACATTGAAAATGTGGTTTCAAGCAAGTGAAAACTTGTGCTTTTGGAGCCTCACGTGGCTCTCTTGCACCTAAGAGTTCGGTTTTGGAGCCATATCCCCCTCCTGTCTCTAGATTTGGACAGAATTGAATTGAATTGGAGTGAGTGAGTGAATTCATGTTTCTGTCACTAATGGGGACACTCGCCTGCCTTGCAGGTAGGGGACGTCACCAACAAGAAGCCGCAGCGGCTGGTGACTCAGTTCCACTTCACCAGCTGGCCGGACTTCGGCGTGCCCTTCACGCCCATCGGCATGCTGAAGTTCCTGAAGAAGGTGAAGACGTGCAACCCCCAGTACGCGGGAGCCATCGTGGTGCACTGCAGGTGAGGGCCCTGCCATCGCTCACATCCAGCGCTCCCTTCTTCCTCCAGCAAAAGGAAATCCCGGAGCGTGGTGGAGACATCAGCCATGGGGGCTGCTCCAGCTCCCATCTCTTTAGTTTCCTTCTTGGAGCAAAGTTGACAGCAGAGTTTCGTCTTGAAGTAGCATCTACAGCCTCCTCTGCCTTATTTCTCCCTCTGTCCTTGATAGCTGAGCGACCAGCACGGAAGCAAAGGCTTCGCTGTGGGCTCACCTTGGTGAGGAGGAGGCTGGCACAGACACAGGGCACGGCTGGCACACACGGGCAGCCTTTAGGCTCAGCCAGGCCGTCACTGGCCAGGGATTTGGGGCTGGGCTCCCCCTGTTCTGTGCCTTCCTGAAGGCAGTTGCAGGAGCGCAGAGTTCTGTGTATCCCTCTGCAAAGCTGGGGGTTAAGGAAGAGCCAGGGCAGCCTCTCTCTTGCCGGGGTGGATGCTGTGCTGGGAACAGCGCCGGCGGGACGGGGCCGCTCGCGCTCACCGCCCGCTCCCGCCACCTTGCAGCGCCGGCGTGGGACGCACGGGCACCTTCATCGTCATCGACGCCATGCTCGACATGATGCACGCCGAGAGGAAGGTGGACGTGTACGGCTTCGTGAGCCGCATCCGGGCCCAGCGCTGCCAGATGGTGCAGACAGATGTAAGTTGGGGTTCTTGGAGCTTCGCTTTCTCATAGCTAGATGAGAAAGGTTTCCAACCTTAACAATTCTATCATTTTTCAAAGCACCTCAGTCCCACACACACACTCAGGAGACCTTCACATCCTCTTTTAATCATTTTTYCCTCCATCTTTGCATTAAGTTCCTCCAGCTCTCCCAGGTTATAGAGCCAATATGGTCTCTGTCCCTTTGGAGAGGCAGAGAAATCATCTTCAGCTTTTCTGGGGGTGTGAGGCACATGGTGTGCACTCAGTGACTCCTCATGTTTTGTGCCCGGGCTGGGCGTTTGCAGCCTCCATACGTGCACACGCTGCGGGATGGGTGGCACGTGAAGGAGTGTGGAGCAGAAGCTGACGGTGTCTCCCGGCCCCTCTTTCAGATGCAGTATGTATTTATCTACCAAGCGCTTCTGGAGCACTATCTCTACGGAGACACGGAGCTGGAAGTGACTTCGTTAGAAATCCACCTCCAGAAAATCTACAACAAAGTGCCAGGGACCAGCAGTAACGGGCTGGAAGAGGAGTTCAAGGTGCGTGCGCTGCGGGGAAGCCGGGCCCGGGCACTTTCACATGCAGACTTAGCGACCGTGGCATCCAAGCCTGTCCCTAAGAGCAGATTTTAAGCAGATCTAGTCCTTTTCCCTGTGATAAAGGGCGTTTTGGTGGGTTTGCTGGGCTGCTGTCACCCACTCCGCTAGCTTTCCRTGCCCCTCAAGGCTGTTCCCGCTTTGTTCCTTCCCCTGCAGAAATTAACTTCAATCAAAATCCAGAATGACAAGATGAGAACGGGCAACTTGCCAGCGAACATGAAGAAGAACAGGGTGCTTCAGATAATTCCATGTAAGGGCCGCTTCCTTGCCTGAGCAAAAGCAGCTCGGGGGGTGAGGGTGAACCTTGAGGGTAGGAGTGGTGATGGGGCTTCTCAAATTTTCCTCTCTTTTTCTGCCTCTTGGTTTTTCCAGATAGAAAGATTTTCATGGACAAACTTAAAGCAGCCCTTGCAGCTCTTGCTTTTGTTTTACCTCGTTCCTGACTTTCTTCTTTGGGGGTTTATGCTGCCTGAGGCCTTCAGCCTCGAGGGAAAAGAGGATCTCTCTGTTGAGCAGGTTTTTGCTCCCTGAGTCTCCCCTCAACATCCCCTCCTCACCTGCCCTGGCCCCAGCCTTGTGCCTGAACCACGGCCCCAGCTGGAGCTGTGTCCTCACCCCAGAGCAGGGCTGTGAGCGCAGGGTCCCCCATCCTGCATCACCCTGGCCTCTCTCCTTGGGGCTCTCCATATARCTACCATGTTTGCAAGCAGCTCTGCTTTGAAAGTGTCACCTCAAACACTCCTGTATCTGCTTCTGTTTTAGATGAGTTCAACCGAGTGATCATTCCAGTGAAGAGAGGTGAAGAGAATACGGACTATGTAAATGCTTCCTTCATTGATGTGAGTAGTTTTTGTCTTGTTTCCTGCCCCTCTACTCAGCTCTGGTGAGGCTGCACCTGGAGTATTGGGTGCAGTTCTGGGCTCCCCAGTATGTGGGGACGTGGAGCTTCTAGAGAGGGTCCAGCAGTGGCAACAAAGATGATTAAAGGACTGGAGCATCTATTATATGRGGAAAGACTGAGTGAGTTGGACCTGTTTAGCCTGGAGAAGGTTGGGAGGGGATCTGATCAACGTGTATAAGTACCTGAGGGGAGAATGTAGGGAGGAAGGGGCCAAGTGGTGGCCAGTGACAGGACAAGGGGTAATGGGTGTAAGTTGAACCCCAGGCAGCTCCATCTCCATGTGGGGAGGAACTTCTGCACTGTGARGGTGCCCGAGCCCTGTGTGATTCTTTCCATACTCTCCTCTTGGAAGCACACTACCTCCCACCATTTCCTATAGGAAGGATTTATGTCATCCTGAAACGCTTCCCCCTGGGCTTCATAAACCTCCTTCCTCTTTGCTCCATGCCAATGGCTAGTGGCAGCTTGTCCCAAACAAACCCTGCAGACAGGAGCCTCCACTCCTCTGAGCCACAGAGACCTGGGAGAGGAGAGTTGGAGCCTGAACCGATCCCCTAAATCCTGCTCTCGCTGCTGCAACTCCTGAGTTTGGAGGACGGTTCTGGAGAAAAGGACACGTGTGGCCAGAGGAGTGATTGCTTTAACAGCACCGTTCATTTGGTCAGAAAACATCCCCTAGATTAAGAAATGGAGCCGTACATGGATCCCAAAACCCTGGAGAAAAACCAGGTCAATCCCATTACACCTGCCTCGCTGCCGGAGGAAATGAGGCAGCGAGGTTAAGTGCTTTGCTCCCGCGCGGCGCGTTGCACATCCCCTGCTCGTGAGTAATCCTRTTGACTCCGGGGGAGCATCTCTTATGAGTATTTATCTTTGAGCAGCGAGGCCAGCGCTCTGGAAGTCACAACGAACCCTGCTCTTCTCTAGCCCAGTATCATCAGTAAAGTTTTCWCCTCCTGGAGACAGGTATTTTTCCAAAAGGGCCACAACTGCCATAGGTTGAAGCAGTGAAGCCAGTGTATTCCCAGGCACAGCATCCCAAATTAACTGCTCCATGAAAACACACACTGAGCAGCCCTGCAGCTCGGCAGCTTGGCGTTCCAAATCCAGCTCCAAAAGCTTCAACGTCACGTAAGCAATTCCGTGGAAGATTCAATTTCCTGCCTCTGCTGAACTTTGCTGAAGTGACGAGCTCCCAATGACGAAGTGTCTTTAGCCACCGTTTGCTGTGAGGGCACAGGGGAATATTGGAGGGTTTCGTTTTTTGAAACAGGAACCTCTCTGCGTGGTGGGAGAGCCAGGGTCACCCTCACATACTACAGGGAATAGTTTTGCTCGCATCTTCCAATAAAAGTTGCAACTGTAGTTTCCAGAGCTTTGGCACTTCAAAGATCAACCTTTTGACTTCTTCTAGGAGCAGGAGCACTGGAAGCCCAGCTATTCCTCTGCCACAGGGGCCACGTGATCCCATTTTAGCCGCATTTCCTTAGAAATAAAGCTCTTATTGTGACACAGTGCTGCCTTAGGCATCCAAGCCCCTATCGATGTCCATGTGTCCGTGTGCCGGGACTCGGGGYTCACGGCAAGAGTCGCGGTGCTCCAGGGATTAACCGGGCGCCGCTGCCTTGGCCGGGCTGCGTCCCGGGCCGCGTTGCCCCGTGCTGCTCCCCGTGCCGGTAACGGCCGTTGGCAATTGCAGGGCTATCGCCAGAAGGACTCGTACATCGCCAGCCAGGGGCCTCTCCAGCACACGATAGAGGACTTCTGGAGGATGATCTGGGAGTGGAAATCCTGCTCCATAGTCATGTTAACGGAGCTGGAGGAGCGAGGCCAGGTTAGTGTCCCTGCGGCCGCGGAGGCTTTTCGGCACCGCTGGAGGAGGTGGGTGGAAACCCATAAGATGTCCCCGTGCTGCCCTTCCAGCCTTTCCCTGGCCAATAACATGCAGCGAGGGACCTTCAATCCCTGATTCTAACGCTAAGAGTCCTGATGTTTGTAAATCCAGAGGAGAGGAGTTAAAAAAATAAATGGAACAACTCTGGATCCTCAGCTGTTAAAGCAGCTCTGGAGCTAAGTAGTGGTCCTCATAGGAGATTCTGTAGGCATCTCCTGCAGCAAGACGGGGCCACGCAGCCCCTCTCCGAGCCTGCGTAATTCCCCGTGGCTTCCCCAGGAGAAGATCCCTCCTCTAAAGGCACCAGGAAGACAAGAGGCTCTTCACCCCGTCCCCTCTCACCTGCCTTTTCAGGAGAAGTGTGCCCAGTACTGGCCCTCTGATGGCGCGGTGTCCTACGGAGACATCACCGTAGAGCTGAAGAAGGAGGAGGAGTGTGAGAGCTACACGGTGCGGGACCTGCTGGTGACGAACACCAGGGTAAGAGCGTGTCCTGCTCCCTTGGCAAAGCTCGGGGCGCTCCCAGCTCTGAGATTCCCGTTAGTCCTGGGCCTTCCCTCAAAGCGCCTTCAGCTCCATCAAGCCTAGTYGTCCCACAGCAACGTTCATGCCCTGCTAGCTCATCAGCTAGTGCCATTCCTTCCATCATCCCTGTCCCTTGGAAAACTSCTTTTGCCAGGTGGATTGGGCACTTTCACCTCTTAGATGTGCCCCCTTCTGAAGGGCCTCTTCATCCACGCATCTTCATCCCCATCCCGGTCAGATGATGGAGGCTGCTGGCATGAATGAGCTGTTGAGAGCTGTGGTGTTGTTCTGCCAGGAGAACAAGAGCCGGCAGATCCGGCAGTTTCACTTCCACGGCTGGCCAGAAGTGGGGATCCCCAGCGATGGGAAGGGGATGATCAACATCATCGCGGCCGTGCAGAAGCAGCAGCAGCAGTCTGGCAACCACCCCATCACGGTGCACTGCAGGTAAGGCCCCGGCGCCGCAGTGACCAAAACCTCCCTCGGAAACAGTAAAATACCCTCAAAATCAGTAAAATACCCTCAAAATCAGTAAAATACCCCTCAAAATCAGTAAAGCATCCCTGGAAAGGCTCAAGCTGAGTGGTAAGAGGTAGGCTGAAGCAGTAAGAGGTTCCTCTCCTCCTGCCACCCCATCTGAACCTCAAGGGAGAAGTCCAAGCACACATTGGGGACAGCCCAACTAGCTGCAAGAGGACGGTTGACCCTTGCAGGCCCTTGCTCCTTGGCTGGTGTCCCAAGCAGAAGCCTCACGGTGGSTTTGGGCCGTTCCCATAACTTTGTGCTTTCTCCGTGGCAGTGCTGGGGCGGGAAGAACGGGCACATTCTGCGCGCTGAGCACCGTCCTGGAGAGGGTGAAAGCAGAAGGAATTCTCGACGTCTTTCAGACSGTGAAGAGCTTGAGGTTGCAGAGGCCACATATGGTGCAGACACTGGTAAGCCTGGTTTTGGGCCTCAAAACCCAAGTTATTTCACAAAAGCAGGAAGGGGGAACGGGGTMTTTCTGCTCCACGTAACGCTGTGCCCCTCCAACCCCGCAGGAACAGTACGAATTCTGCTACAAGGTGGTGCAGGAATATATCGACGCCTTCTCGGACTACGCCAACTTCAAGTGAAAACCCAAGAAACAAATGTCAGAAGAGTTGCCTTCTTTAATATTTTGTAATATTCTGTTTGTTAATATACCCCCCCGAAAATATGTGTATATATCTTAACTGTTTTAGAGGTTGGTACCATAAGCTTCATATTAGCTGGAGATTTTATATGTAGCAAAGTGTTAGTGCAGATACTGTTGGCTCCTTTTTTTTTTTTTTTTCCAATGTTCTATTGGGGAATTAAATAGCGTGATGTTTGGATTAATATTGTCATACCATCTCTCTTCTGGAGAGTCGACGCAGGTTGTTATTTTGTTTGTAAATCTCTTTTTTTTTTTTTTTTCTTGAGGGAGTAAAGCCTTTTTTAAAAAAGAAAAAGATATTCTGGATCTCGTCTAAAAATATATATATATAAGACCCACAAGCACAAGCTTTTCCACATCTGCAGGGAAATGGCTTCACATTTTTCTGCTGGACAGCTCTTGAGGGGAAAAAAAAGAGAGGAAAAACAACATCAGAAAAAAGCTTATTCTCTCTGTGTGTGTGTGTATATATATATATATATATATAAAAATACCCTAATTTTGTATAAAAAGGCAAAGCAAAGGTTTCCTCCTTCAGGGTCAGAGGGGCCCGCGCTGCTGCTCGATGGTCTCGAGCACAGCGGCAGCAGTCGGGAATTCAGCCCGAAGTCAATAAAAAAGGGAAAAATAAAAGGGTTTTTTGCTCCCTGAAGGAAAGTCCGTGTGKGGCGGGCCCCGTTTTGGGCTGGCCCTGCCCGGTGGGACAGAGAGCTCGAAAACCCTCAAGTTTCGGTCCATACAAGAGGCACCGCAGGCGCCACTGACACCCTGCCCCGTCCTGCCCCGTCCCGGCGCTCCGGGAGGGATGGGACCATCCATGAAGCCTCGGGATGAAGCCCGGAGCGCAGCCACGTCATTGGCACCTGCTTTGGGGAAATAAAATGCAGTTTAGGGCAACGTGGGGCGCTTTGCCAGAGGGAGACGCCGCTAAAACCGCCCTCGGCATTAAGGGGTAATAAATAATAAGTGGCAAACACACCACTCCTCCTGCCCCCCTTTCAACCCAAAACCGCATCCCAGGGGCGTTTTTACCCGTTTTTACCCGTTTTTACCCATTTTCCCCGTCCTTGGCGCTGTGGCCGCCTCCCGCTCCGCCCCGTGCCTCAGTTTCCCGTGCGGCGCCTCCGCCGCCTCCCCCGGCCGGGGCGGCGCCGGCGCGGACCGGGCCCGGGCTACAAAGAGCGGCGGCGGCGGCGGGGCCGGCGGCCGCGGAGGTGAGAGCGGCCGGGGGCACCGGCACCGGGAGCCCTGTGGGATGGAGGGCACCGGGAGGAAGCGGGACCTGCACCGGGACCCCGAGCCCCGCGGGATGAGACGGACCGGGATGGGGAGCCCGAGCCCCGCGGGGTGGAGGGGACCGGGAGCGGGAGCCCCACGGGATAGGGGGGACCAGGAGGGAGCGGGACCCCCGCGGGATGTTGGAGCACCGGGAGGGACCGGGAGGGACCGGGACACCGGGACCAGGAACCCCGCGGGATGTGGAGGGACCGGGAGCTCGAGCCCCGCGGGATAGAGGGGACCGGACCCAGACCCCTGTGGAATGGAGGGGACCGGGAGGAACCGGGACCTGCACCAGGACCCCGAGCCCCGCGGGATGGAGGGGACCGGGACCGGGAGCTCCACGGGGTAGGGTGGACCAGGAGGGAGCGGGACCCCCGCGGGATGTGGGAGCACCAGGAGGGACCGGGAGGGACCGGGACACCGGGACCAGGAACCCCGCGGGATGTGGAGGGATCGGGAGCTCGAGCCCCGCGGRATRGAGKGGACCGGGWCCGGGAGCCCCACGGGATAGGGSGGACCAGGAGGGAGCGGGAYCCCCGCRGGATGTGGAGGGACCGGGAGCTCGAGCCCCGCGGGATAGAGGGGACCGGGACCGGGAGCCCCACGGGATAGGGGGGACCAGGAGGGAGCGGGACCCCCGCGGGATGTGGAGGGACCGGGAGCTCGAGCCCCGCGGGATGGGGGCACCGGGTATCCGTGGCACCGGGGGGCAACGGGGTGTCCCTGTCCGCCCCAGCGGGGGCTGCTCAAGGGAAACGGGCCCGGCCCCGACGGGGAGCACCCCCTCAAGGGGCTCCCCTGGGCACAGGGCGCGAGGGGGCCCAGGCGTCCGGGCGCGTGTGCCGGCAGCCGCGGCGTGTCCGTTTCCCCGCCACGTCCGCCCATGGCTCCGGCGCGGGCCCCGCCGCCGCCGCCGCCGCTGCCGCTGCTGCTGCTGCTGCTGCTGCTGCTGGCGGGCGCCGTGCGGCGCTGCCCGGCCCAGCACTGGTCCCACGGCTGGTACCCGGGCGGCAAGCGGGGCCTGGCGCCCGACCCCGGCCCGCAGGTGGGAGCCCCGCGCGCGGCCCCTTCCCTCGGGGCTCAGACCCCGCGCCCGGCTCCTTCCTGGGGCCGTTCCGCCCTTCGGGGGGTCACAGACCCCTCTCTGGGGTAACATGTCCCGTCCCTCGTTGCATCCCCCCTTGTGTGGGTTCCAGCCCCCTTTTGGGGTGATATTCCCTTGCTTGGCTTCATAGTCCCCAATCCTGACCGTCTTGGGGTCATTTCCCTTTTTTTCCCCTGTCCCGGGATCATTTCCCCCCTTCTTTAGGTCAAACCGCCCCATCCTTGGGTTTTTGCCCCATCCCTTTCTGGGGGTGTCAGCCCCTGTCCTTGGGTCTCACCCCATTCCTGCCTTTACAGCCCCAGTGCGGGGTAAGAGCCACCAGTTTGGCCTCTTAGCCCCTTTTTTTTTGGCTAATTACCCATCCCTGGGAAATATTCCCGCCCTTGGGATCAGCGCCCCCATCCCAGGCTTCCATCCCCCATCCCAGGGTCCTATCCCGCTCCATTGGGTCGGAGCCCCCCCAGCTCCAGGGGTCGAACCCCCTTTTGGGTGCCCCCCCCCCCG